TCTGACGCAGGCCTGTTTATTTGTGTCAGAGAGACAAACATGATCAAACCTTGCACTGCTGCCTGAAAGATAGACAGGTAAACTGCCTTTACAGCACACAAAGTAAAACAAATGTGATGTATTGATGGACCTGTGGTTTTGGGTGTGAATGAAGTGACCTCATTAGCTCTGTTTTTTGTGGGGGAAGAATCACAAGCACCCAAAACATTCCTCTCTCACATGGGTGATATGGGAAACAGGGAAGCCCTGACTCTTAATGGGATAGCAAGAATGAAAAATAGCTGTTAATTTTACCCTCAGACTGGACAAAAGCTCTCATTGAGGCAGTACATTGAATTTTCAACATCAACCGGTGAGCTAAAATGGATAAAGGTCCAATGTGTCCCATTAAAGGTACATAATAGTACCTCAGGTGTACATATTATTAAATTAAAAGTACAGAAGTGTACCTTCATGATTCTTAAAATGCATATCAACAGCTACCAGCACATTCAGATTTAACACAACCATATACAGGCAAAACAAAATTGGCACCCATTGCTCTCGATGATACATTGAGGTCTAATAAAGAGAAACAATCAACCAATGCAAGAAACTGAACATTTTTACAGCATTATTAACTTTAATTAACAGGTAAACTGTCCAGAAGTTTCTACTAAACATCTTTTTTTCATTCTGAAGAATAAAAGGGTAAAATAATCCACATTGACTATTATTTTTAAATGCTTTAATACTCACTGTTGCTTTAGTTTTTATCAAAATAAAAATCTGTGTATCTGATCCAGTATGCAGGAAAATATATATATTTTTGAAAGGCTGAAAGGCTTCATCTTTCCTGAACCAATCTGCTGATCTGAAGAACCTATAGCCTAATGTAACATCCATACATTTGTAATCTCCAGAAACCCATATAGATACTCAGAAATGATTTAAGATAAGCAAATTCTACAAAGAGCCTTTGTGTTTAGTATAGGTGAGTAAATTGATATATATGGTCTTTCTTCACCAAGAAAGCTTAATAAAATAATAATTTGCAAGAAAACTAGCTGTAGCTTTAAGCTATTAAATGAAGCTAAAGGCATTAATTTCTATGCAAAATAAAATATTTGATTAATTTCTGTTGATTTACAGGTAAAACATGAACATGATTGTTTAATGCATGATTGTTTCTCCATGTCCTCTGTTTCTCCTCTTTTCCTTTTTCTTCTCAAATGGAGGGAAATGACCTGAGTGTGTGTTCATGGCCTCAGTTAGCAGCTGTCTGCTGTAAAACTGCTGAGCTCAAACTGAACAATAGATCAGTCAAATCTCTGGACAGCTTTCCAAACAGGGATATACCTTTTAACTGTTATTTGGCCATTCAGATAGTGAATTAAGTTAGTAGTAGAAATTTAAACAGATCCCAATTTAACATCAGAATTGAATATGCATACTTCGTGTTTGATTTAAATTAATGTGACAAATGTGTTCTTTTATTTATTTATTCGTTCATTTCCTTTTCAGTTTATAATTAGTTATTCATCTGGGGTCGCCACAGTGAAATGAACCGCCTACTTATACAGCATATGTTTTACACAGCATATACTCTTCCAGCTGCAACCCATCATTGGTAAACATCCATACACACTCATACTAATAATACACTACGGACAATTACGGACTACGGACCCACGCAGACGTGGGAAGAACATGCAAACTCCACACAGAAGCGCCAACTGACCAAGCTGGGGCTTGAACCAGTGACCTTCTTGCTGTGAGGTGATTGTGGGGTACCGTGCTGCCCCATATTCATATATATATATATATATATATATATATATATATATATATATATATATATATAAGGGCTGTAACGATACACCAAACCCACGATTCGATTCGTATCACGATTTTTGACCCACGATTCGATTTGTATCACGATTTTTTTTTTCGTGTGGGGTGGGGAAAAAAGATTTTTAAAACTTTTTTTTTTTTAATAGAATTATATTATTTTTGTTTTCTTTGTAACAAAATACTTTTGAAAAACCAAACCGAACTAAACTCCATTGTGTAGATGGTTCAACCATGTTAAAAATTCTTTTTCAATCAAGTTCTCTTACATAGAAAAAGTAAATTAAATGGCTACTAGGGATGCTCATTTCGGTTAATTTTGCTAACAGACAACCGCCGCTCATTAATCGGTTATTATAATAACGGTTAACTGGTCAGATTACTATTAATTTTATATTAAACAAATTGACGTGTCTATTTTGTGTCTGACACATTAAATATTGCATTTTAAAATAGGCTACTGATTTATTTTTATATGTTAGCATATTAATAACAGAACAGAACAACAGAGCATCTTCACGCACCTGCAGTGTTTAGCACAGAAGAGCAGAATAATTTAAATAAAATTAATAAAATAAATAGGACTGCCCTAAATTATTTTCATTTAAATAATTAATTTATATTACAAAACGAAAATACTGACTGATTCTTTTTAACAACCGGCATAGGCTGTTTTATTCCAATCATGTTTTTTCTTCCGTCAAATAAAAATCGCAGACTTCCTCAAATTGTCCACTCCACGGAAAAAATATGCATTTATTTAATGCCCCGCTGTTATTATTATAATCACAAAACCTTTTACATTTTAATAGAAATCATTATTTTAAAGAATATGTCCTGATGGTTTCCTCTCTCTCCCTCGCGGTTCAAGTGCACGTGCTGCATGATGAAAAGACAACAACAACGCACGCATATGTAGACTTTTTGTAAACAGTTTTGTTGTTTAAATATGCTATTGCATTAATGTGCATACATGCTTTTTTAAGCCGAAAACAAGGCGCATCTCACTGCCTTTATGTTGACAAGTAAAAAAGAAGAGAAGAAGCGCGGTCCTCTTATGAAACGACTGAATCAGCTGGGTATCGATTGTGCATAAGTGTTGCTGTCTGTGTTGTTACAATTGTAATATTTAATGCTATCGTTATATTCAAGATTTGTACATACATACAGCTCTGGATAACTTAAAACAGCGATTAGACCTTCAGAGCGGCATGCGTCCTGAAGTAAAGCGAAACTATAGAAACTGTGTTCATCTTAACTGAAAGCTTCGTCCTGTTTCCTGGCCTCACGCATCGAGCTGTCAATCAGCACGTAACGTTAACTCTCAAAGGTTCAAACAGAAAGCGCACAGCACGGTTACAGAAAAGTTTCCTCTGCAGAGGAGTCGGGGCATCTGGTGAACGCCCATCCCTCTCTGCGCAGCCACATTAACAACAATGCTTTGGCAGCACTGGCAATGTTTCTGCCGTTGTCGGTAATCAAGAGGGGTTAAGTTGGTTTTGTTTTTGATATTCCTGACACATTCAGACAGTCCCTTACTAAGAGCTCCGTGCGACTTCTCCCGGTTAAACACTAATTGCGAGGGCTTAAACGGAGCAGTGCTCGTAATGTCGAGCGGAAAAAAAGTGTTTCCTCACGTTCTTCTTCAACTAGCTCAACTTTTGCAGGCACGCGTGACGTTATTGGAAAGGTAGTCACGGGGTGTGTCGCGATTCTCCCTTATCACACCGCGACACAGGATCGTATATCTGAGTGTCGCGATTTCGATTTTATATCGTGTATCGTTACAGCCCTAATATATATATATATATATATATATATATATATATATAGGGTGTCTCCTTTAAACTTTAAATGTAGCATTTATTTATAATTTCATGTTTTTAATCAATTGATGTGAATGATTACAAGTCCCCTAGAGTTAAACAGTTTAACCATTTTTGGATCCATTGAGCTGATCTCTGGGTCTGTCAAGAGCACTTTTAGCTTCAGCAAGAATCATTGAATTTGATCATTTTGGCAGTTTCAATATTTTTACAATTTAAAGCTTGGCACCTCTGTAGTTACATCGTGTTTATACAAGAACCGACGGAAAATGAAAAGTTGCCATTTTCTAGGCTGATATAGCTAGGTAACTGTACTCTCATTCTGGCATAATAATCGAGGAACTTTGCAGTCGTACGGCAATTCGTAACTTTTTGATTTAGTGGCCAATTCCTATGATTTCATGAGATTTCATTCGTACAATTTAGCGCGATTTGCTTATCCCCCAATGACGGTTTGGTTTAGAGGCGGGGTTGGGTGCCACACCTTTTTAAAATCATACATTTTTGTACTGAACTTGTAAGAATTGGCTTCAGCGGGCATAATGATATTATTTTACATATTACATTATAGCAGACTTTCATTTTCTGTTGGTCTTAGTACACAACAACTACAGAAGAGTGAAGCTTTAAAATAGAAAATGATTGAAACTCTTTGGTCCTCCTTGAGTGAGATGCTGTTAGTAAAATCCAATTCAATGATCAATGCTAAACTAAGCTAAAACTGCTCCAGAGATCAGCTGATTGGTAAAACTCAACTGTTTAAATCTAGTGGACTTTTATTTTAAAAAGTTTTAGACTATATTTTATTATAAAAATATGAGTGTTGGCACAGGGGGTCAGTAATTAGCACTGTTATCGCACTGCAAGAAGGTTGCTGGTTCGAGTCCTGACTGGGCCAGGAGTTACTGTGTGGTGTTTGCATGTCCTTGCCGTGTTGGTGTGGGTTTCCTCCAGGTGCCCCGGTTTCCCCCACAGTCCAAAGACTTGTGCTATAGGTGAATTGAATAATTGGTGGAATAGTTAGTGGTTCATTCCGCTGTGGTGTCCTCTGACATAAAGATTAACCTGAATGAAAATGAATAAATTAAAATAGTGGATCATTCCTTTAATATTTCAAATAACATTTGTTTAAAAAAAGTAAAAAAAAAAAAAAGGGTAAAACCTTATGGTTTATTTAAAGATCGTGGCAAAGTCTCAAGATTTTAACCACAAAATACCTTCACAGAAAAAATGCTGGAGCCTTTTTTTGTTTAGAAAGACACAAAAAAGATCTGTAAAAAAAACGATGGTTTTGAGTTTCACTCAACATTTATCAAACAAGCTCAAATAAAACACACTGTGACATTGTGATTTAGATTTTTTTTTTTATTAAATGCAACACGAATGCAATAAAATTAAGATAAATAACATGTTTTAACAGTGGAAATATCTTAGAGTTATATTCCCCACGAGGTCGAAAAGAACATCCACCGTAAAAATCAGTTCCAAGTGGGTCTCAAATTCAGGTTACACAATGATTCTATTTCCTTTGAGGCTTGGCCAACTTCCTGGCACACTGGTGGTGCCAGTGCCACCATATCAAGCGTTGAATCCAGTGTTTGTTTACAAAAATACAATTTTTCTTTGTCTTTTTTTTTTTCGTTTTGTTTTTTTTTATAGACCCAGAAAGTGACATTACATTTATTTTCACATCAGATTTGTTAAAGCTTTAGCTTCTGCAGTGTAACAGCAACAATGTCATTAAAAAAGTAAGTCATCCTTTAGGATTGAAAGGCATTTCTGTCCTTTTTCACAATTCCAACACGGAACAATCTGTACAGGCTTGCATATTGAACAAATAAGAGTACAACGTTGACAATGGAAAACAGAACAAAACAAAAAGAACACATTTTTTTTGGCAAAGCAGGAAGAAAAAGTGACAAAGAGGCAACATTTTAGATTAGATCTGTTTAAGTTTTGTTTAAACTGCCCTCATTTACAGGTTATGATTGTCCTTCATGATCACGTGACACAGGACAGCAGGAGGCTTCAAGTGCTGGAAGCGTCTGTTCACGCTTTGCATTACCGTATAATCCTTGGCCGACAAACATTCTGAGAACATTTGAGCATTGTTTTCAAACATGAAAGCTATCTAAAGTACATCAGGCTAAACATTGCAAGCGCCCCTTGTTCACGATTCAGTCTATATATATATATATATGTATTTATTGCAGATGGAAGTGGAGTCATTCCTTTGGTTCGTCATTTTGGAGGCCAGATTCCTTTAGTTAGTATTTAAATGTTTAAACCACCTCCATATTTGCTATATGGAACTCTTTACCTACGAAGCATTAAGCGCTTTTTTGCTCTTGCCAGTTCACACAAAAACAATGAAATGCAAACAAACAAACAAACAAACACTTCTTTCAACGCTAAAATCAGAAAGACGAAAGATAATAATGAAGTGTACACACAGACAGCCTGTTTCCTCTGACTGGGCTGCATTGTGTCGGTTCTACAGAACTTCTCGCTATACCCTCCTATACAGCAGTGATGAGGGTATTCAGTAACCAAAGTCTCCAAAATCATGCCTGTCCCCGAAGCAAACCTCCCGATCCAACACTTAATTCAGTTTAAAAAAATAACACAATCAAGAGCAACAAAGAGGAATAGAGTTCTCTCTTCATTTATATTATATTTACAGTTTTTAATATATATTTATATATTTATATATTTACACACATCAAATAAATCAATTGTACAACTATACACCTGAATGAGAAGATAAACAAGAGGTACAGAAGTATATGGCTTGACTGGAAAAAATCGTTCCTTTGTGTTTTTTGTCTGTGTTTGTTTTTTATGTTTGCTCTTAAAACAGCTTAACAATATACCGACATAATCATTAGCGCCCCTCCCCCTCCCAAAAAAAAAAACAAACAATAAAAAATCCCTGGTATTGTCAAAAGAGGTCATTAGACTGTACATGTGAGAGAGCGTCATTCAATGTAGCCTCTAATCTCCAGGTTAACGGCTATTCCTCTTTGTTTGTTTGTGGCTGATCTCTACATACACTCATGGTTGTTCGCATATCTGCATACAGCAAAAAAAAGAAAGACCCTCTCATTCGCATCTCCCCTCAGTCAAATGCACAAATGAACAGATCATACCACAGCTGAAAGTAACAGTGTATTTGGTCCTGCTGGGATATCTTAAAGTCCTGGTGTGTTTAACCAGCGAATATCTTTCCAAAAGAACTTCCCGCAAAAAATGCAGTCAGTGTTTTTCTTCTCTGACCCAAGTCAGTTCTCAGAACGTCAGTCTAAATACCCTACTCTGAACAAGTCCAGTGCCTTTTTCCGTGATTGGAAAAAAAAATGATTCCATGTCTGTGGAGCCTTCATAAGTGATCACCATGAGTTGGCTTCCCCACAATCCATTCGATAATGTACTGTTACTTCAAGAGTAGAGACGGAAGTGGCCTTTTATTTACCATTTTCAGTAGTGCATCATCCATTTCCAAATGTTAGCAGATAATCGACTCTCCTTCGGCTGTCACCAGCTGACCACTGGTGGGGTCATAAGTTCCTGCCAGGTAGTATAGATCTTGACCATTGCTGTTTGGTTTCCTAATTCGACTCAGACGCTCATATTCAGCTCGGCTGACCACCTGGCACTTATGGGAGATGGTTTGGACGTCATTTTCATCCTCATGGGAACTTTGGTACAGGGCATGCTGTGGAGAGAGAAGAAATGAAGGTTAAGTCTTGCAATAACATGAAAAAAAAATCAAAACCAAACAAGACTTCTGGTGACTACTGTACCTTCCCATCCCGGTGCCTTTTTCCAAGCTTGGTCTCCTCAGGGTGGTAGAACCACTTTACTTTGACTACCATGTTGCTAGACCATGATTCCCAAAGACTTTCAATGCGACCGATGAAGGGCAGATGGGGTCGACCAGCCGAGAGGAAAACTGCACAATCACCAACTCGAACTGTGTCTTTACCACGAACGATTGCCTTGTAGAAGAGCTTTCTGGCTTTTCCTTTCAAACCCCGTCTCTGATGACAAGAAAGGAAAGTTTGAGGCACTCTTTTCAAACTATATTTTTGATTGGTATTTAAAAAGAAAAATCATTACAATTACCTGAGTAGGGTTCCCAGACCACCTCCACAGCTGTCGCCCTGGCATGAATGCGGATGAGTTGGGGGGACCTTCTGAAGACTGCATCTTCTGCTTTTTAGGGAAGTCTTTGGAAGATTTGGACTGTACTACAGAAGAAGAGTTGGCAATCTCCTTTCTCTTTGGAGGTTTTCCTGTACTACTATTTACTGCAGCCTTTGAATTAGAGATACTCATAGTTTTGGCTCCAAAAGTGTGTCGTGGTGGGGCGGTGGGAGGGTCTGAATGCTGCTGTTGTTGGAGCAATGTGTGATGAGAAGAAAGGCAACCCTGGAGCAGAAGCCGAGATGCCTCTTCTTCATCTGAACTGTAGGACGAATCATTGTCAGACGAGCAGACGCTGGAACTGGACAATGAGCCTGAGCTAGATGCACTGGAGGATCCTGAGGATGACGATGAAACAGAAAGACGAGACAAAAAACGTCCAGTGGTGCGCATTGCCGCCCTTCTGGCATCTTCCTCCTCATCTTCATCTTCATCCATGTCTGAATAAGAGCTTAGGCAGTCGCTGTGGCAATTTGGCCCATAATCTGTATATTCACTAAGCCCGAGACCCTGAGGGTGCTTTCGCATGTCAGAGGAACCTTTGAGAAGATGGCAACTGTTCCTTTTGGCATCTTTGACAAGAAGAACAGACTGGGAATAGCCCATTGTTGAGGTCAGCTCTCCAATACCTTTGGCTCCAAAGCCCTTTTCCATTCGTCCACTTCTTTGTAGCTCTGGGTTCCCAAGAAGCAACAATGCTTTTCCATTTTTAGTCTTAGGGGATGTTACCCCTTCATGGTCCAGTTTGACCAGAAATTCCTTCCTGTCTCCTATCTTTCTACACCGTGACCCAGGGACAACCTTGTGACTAGGAGGCAGGCCTGGTGCCAACTGTTGATTTCCAAAGGAAGTGCAACCATTTGCAATGCTGCTGAAAGAGTCCACCTCAAAGGAAGTGCTGAAGATGCCTTTGGCTGGAGTGGTCATAGTGGAGCTAAGTAGGGGGAACATGTCTGACTCCTTTCCCTTAAGAGCTTTCTTTGTTAACCCATTAAACTGGAACAAATCCATGGAGGGTTTCCTCCTGGACATGGTGGCAACTGGCCAGCTGAGAAGAGGGGAAGCAGTTTCGGTCACATTCTCAGATGCACCGCTCTTTGATGATGCATTGACAGATTTTGGCCTTCCTGTTGATGGAGATAAACAAAGGTATTGCTAAGGGGACTCAGGAAAACTGACCTCCCAGCAATGATAACTTATTTGCATTTTTCCTAACTTAGGTTACTATGATATTACCTTCATCCCCTAAGAGAAAACAGATAGACACAGATATGCCTAACAGTGGAACATCTGATGACTCAATGTTATTGTACTATTGCAGATAACATCTAGTGAGTAGGAGCTGTTGGACTGGTAGTTCAGGGCTTCAAGTCAGGCTCTTTAGTTAAGTAGCGTTCAACCTTGACGCCAGTTTCCCTCATCCTAATACATCTCATTCCATTAGTCAACCATACACTGATCTCATCAATGCCTATGTGTTAATTGTACAGGGTCGTTAAAAGTAATGAGGGAAAATGCCTCTTTCTTCCGCATTTATTGCAGATTAATAAGCCAGATTATTTTACCTTAGATCTGATAAGACTTTTAGGGCTCTTGACAAACAGCAAATAAATCATTTGGTGGGTGCGTCAGTTCCAGGAACAAGAACCGGGAAAAGTAGTGAAGCGTGTCCTTAGGGACAAACAAACTGAGAAACATCACCCAGCAAGTTCCCCTGACAAACCTTGTGATTAGTGAGTAAATCACTAAATCACAAAGGCCTGTTGTGGAATCCTGTTTGATAGATGTTTCTCAACGTGCCTCTTTGAAACAACATGTTTTACCTTTCTCGTTATAGGTTAAAAGTAGCACCTAAGGGATGTATGCAAACTGTGACAGATTTTAATCTTAGATTATGTGAAAAGCATCTGTTTACACTGTGCAACCAGTAACCAAAATTAATTTAATTGAATCAGTTTGGGAAACCGTGAGAATATGGATAATGCAGCTGTCATCTCGCACCTGGCTTGGCTTTAACGGCACTCTTCCTTGGCTCTGTGTTAGAGGAACGTTCGTTGGATGCATCAGCCTGCTGAGTTATCTTCTCTTGGGTGGAGGTCTTCCTCCTGCGGCAGCTAGGTGAGATCAGGTGGGCTGGTGATGGCTCTGCACCTGCAGTACATCAATAATACCACAGGCTTAATTTTAAATATGGAACCTTTGCACAATGTCTAAACACGAGATTCTATGTTTATGTTGGAGATGAAAGTCGTTTATCTGCAGAAACCTACAGTGGACTTGGTAGCCTGGCGGAAGACACCTAATACTTGAAAGGGAAATCCATCCCCGGTCTCCATCGTCAAACTCCACCATGACACTTCCCTCCTTCTGTTCCTCACCTGGACCTCCTGAGGAATATATAAAAGTAGAGCTCTAAACAACACATATGTACACATATGTAAAAATGAACTTTATTGTTTATTTTTTGTAACTAATTTATAACTTGGTTTTTCGTGCGCAAATGATCTTACCTCTACGGACATATCCAGGATACAGACAGCGTGAGCGTTCACTCCAGTAAGCACATACTCTTGTTCCAGCCATCAGAGTTTCCACCGTCTCTGGCTGCACATCTAAAACCTGAAACACATGGATAACTTTAAAAATTAACCTACAGATCTTGCAGACAGGCAGCTCATCAAGCATAACAAGTTGATTCAGTTAAAAGAAATACATGAAGAAAACGAGACATCCAATTTTCAAAGCATAGATATCTTTGAGGCCCTCTCCTTAAGGCAATTCCAACCATGGGTATACATTTCTCAAGAGAGATGCATTTTGATTTTGTTCTCATAGATAGTTTCTCATACTGAACTAAAATAGAAAAGAAAAGGAAATCAGCATTGCTGAATGGGGTGTCTGCTTTGAAATAATGGAATAAAAGAGCGGAGAGGTGAAATCGATGACTTTATTGTGAGGCTGCCAGCTCCCCTCCCACTACACAGAGCACATGCACTAAAGAGCCCTTTTAGGCCCTGTTCAAACGGGTCTGCTGTAGATACGGCCCTTTTGACAGACAGAGCAAACGGGAAGCCAGGGAGTATTTGGCCAGGATATGCAGGTAGTGGTGTTGGAAGTAAACGACTGATAAGAAGTCTTAAAAGTGGCACAGGAAAGAGGAGGTGTCCCTGAAATGAAAGGGCTAACGCTAATAGCTAGTAGTACCTCCTACCAACTTGTAGGTTTATTCCCCTAAAAAGGTGAAAGCAATGGCATCTATGAGAGCAACATCTGCCACAGTTTGACTCAACCAATTCCATGGATTTGAGGAATGAATATCTGTTCATTTGGTGGTGCACCATATGGGTGCTACAATCACCAACAATCTAATCCTGGATGATCGCTGGTAAACATGCAGATTGCTAAAGGAATACAAATCCACTGATATATGGACTACAAGTTACAGTCATGCACTTCCCTCACACACCTGGCCTAGATTCCATCAGGGCTGAGTCATGTAAACAGTATTGTGAAGATTACGATGCCTTTTCCTTGTTTAGTCTTGCCGTGTTAGACCCTAGCCTTGTTTTCTTGTTTTACTCCTGTCTGCTGCCTGCCTTCTGACCACTCGCCTGATGTTTGACTATGACTCTGGATTTCCTGTGTACATCTGTTTGCAATCATGGGGGATGACTGGAACTTGTAGTCCATATACCGGTGGATTTGTAGTCCTTTAGTGACCGTCGTGTTTACCAGAGATTTGCCAGTATATAAGAAAGTCTTGCGAACATAAAATAATGTATTAAGCAAACAATAAATAAATAAATACAAATTTCCAAAAATCGCAAAGCAAAAATTTGTTTTTGAGAAATAAAAAGGAATTGTTTAAACAAAATTAAAGAACTGTAAAGGAAAAATTGAGTTTTGAGAAAAAAGAATTAAATTTGCAGGGCAAAAAAAACTGGAAAATAAAAATAAAGCAGTGCAAAACAAAAATACTTGCTATATATATATATATTTATATATATATATATATATATATATATATATATATATATATATATATATATATATATATATATATATATATATATATATATACACAATTTTTTTTTTTCGCAAAACTTACTGACACTATGCTATTTGACCTGTGCCTGGGCATGTTTCCTGGTTTGTTTGATAAGTGTAATTGCTCTGAACGGGACTCAGGTGCAGTTCAGTTGGCTGGCCCTGGCCCAGATATAAAAGGTGTGCCAGAGCGTGGTTCTGTTGGGCTTTGGAATGTGAATGCAAAGGGAGTGTGAATGCAAAGGGAGTGCTGAGCCCGAAACTGAAGACGCGACGTCACTTTTAAGGGACTTAGATGTCATAGATTATTAAAAAAGCAAACCCCACGCAGCACGTCAACAGCTCCTTCAGCAAACCTCCAAATAAATGCAGCATGAAGGCTTTTATGATAACTTTTAAGCGTCAAAAGTTGTGGATCCGTTCAACAAAATATTTGACTGTGTCTCACGGCATCCCAAAAAACTAAACTGAACAGTCGCATCATCGATGACAAGCGTACTCTGGCTCAGATGCAATGTGAGAGCGGGCCATCGGGGGAGAGGGGAGGGGGGACACCTACGCTCCGGCATTGTTCAAGGCAACCGTGCCTAGTGAAAGTACGCCCTAAGACCACCTCGATGATATTGTGTGATACAGGTGATGATGTCACTTAAATGGAGGGAGGTCTGGGCCTGCTGTAAACGCTGAAGTTTCCTTGAATCTGCCTTCTTGTCAAATCAGGGCCACGAAGTGAAATGCGCAGAAACAAAAAGTGCAAAGAGAAAACAGCATTGCAAAACTTATTAACTAAATTATTAACTGGTTAACAGTTATTACTTATTAACTGGTTAACTAAAAAGCTAATCAAAATGAGCATTGCAATCGACTGGACGGGTTTTGTAAAGGCAATGCTATAAAAATATTTTGCAAATATATATATATCGTTTTTTTTTAAATTGCAAATAAGAATTTTTTTACTTGATTATTATTTGCAGTTCTTTTTTTGTATGCAAATTTCATTTTTATTCTTCAAATTTATTTTTGCCTTGCGATTTTTGAAAATGTGCATTTATTTTTTTTGCTCAATACTTTATTTTTTAATACTATAATACTACTAATAATAATACCGTTATTTTTTTATTCGCAAAACTTTCTTTTATTTATATCTAATGTTGAACAATGCATCAGGCATATGGGCAAGTCCAATTTGTTGCAGTAGAGTACAGCTAACTCCAATTCAATGCCAACCAACCAATTCTGTTTACTTGGTGGTGAACCATATGGATAATGCTAAAACAATCTGTTTAAATATAGCAATCATTATATTTGCCATTTGTTTGGTGGTGAAAGTAAACACTTTATACTTAAGTATAGAAAAAATGGTCAGAGGAAATTTGCAAGCACTGTTTTTAATAATCAAAGGGGGAAGAACATGCAGTCCATAAATTCTGCAGCATGAGCTGTAACAATGAGATATGTGTTAATAATGATTGCTACAATTTTTTAGTAACTATGAGCCTAATTTTAAATGTTCATTAATTAATGGATTTTGAGAAATGGAGTGTGAAATTTACACACCAGAATGAAGTCAGATAAAGGGTGAGTTTGCATTTAAGGAAAGTTTTTAACATCAGGCTTATGAGCCATGAGTCCAATTTGTTGGAGTAGAGTTCAATGTTAAAGCCTTTACTGTACTAGCCCTCAGTAAATGCTCTCTCTCTTTTGTTCCTTCTGTTCTCAACCACAACTATACAAAATCACACCCAATATTGACAACCTCCTCCTTTGTTTTGCATTTTGTGAACAATCAAGAGCTTTTTATGTTGCAGCTTCTGAATTGTATCAAGACGAGATCTTCAGATGTCTTGTGTACGGCACTGAACTTGAGAGTTGCACAGAGCATGCTCATTAATATGTCTTTGAGGGAGACTAGGGACGAGTAGTAGAGCTTGCGATAGGCGGTCCCTAGGCGGCGAGACACTTTTTTCAGCCCATGATACTGAGAGAGATGAATGAGAGAAGTAACGCATGTAATGTATTCAAATGAATGCATGCCGACAAAGAGCTGTTGGTTTACGGTGTGTAATCAGCTCCCTTTTCCCCCATCGGCTTAGATAAACTATGCGTGTTATTGTAACCCACAGTTCAGCCCCAAAGATCTTCCTAAATAAGAAGATAAATAAATAAAAAAGGGATAAAGCATGCTCTTCTGTACGTCCTCCTGTGGGGCCACGCAGAACTAATAAGGAACAGTTATACAATGTGAGTCACAATGTGAAACTGTATATGCAGGAATCTAACAGACTCCTGGACCACATTATGGGCAGCTAACATAGAGCCCTGTTTGATAAAAAAAAAAGTGTATTAACATTATAAGAGGTCCTAGGGTTGTCTACATCCCTCTATCACAACCAGATGCCGAAATGTTCCTTTAACTATGTTGAATTGAATTTGTGCTCAATGAGATAAAAAATAAGCAATAAAAGAGGCAAATGCCAAACGAATGGCTAAAGTTGGACTGGAGTCCTTCACACACTGATCAGAGCAGTTTACACGCTTCATGGCTAAGTAAATTCTTATCGAAGCACACACACTCACACAAACCCAGATGCTATGTGTATAACTGCTTTAGCAGAGAAAGCCAGAGCTGGGCTCGATCCAGCATTGAGCCGATGGGGCTCTGGGGGAGAACAAGGGGTCTGTGAGAGCCTGTGAGGGTGGCCTGAAGGGCTTCTTCGGCCCAAGGCCTGTATGGGAAGATAGAGGAAGTCTTTGGGGGGAACAAGTCCTCTGAAGAAGCATTTTAAAGGGTCTCACCGCTTCCTGAAGCAGCTGCTCCAGAGAGTAGATCCTCGGCCTGTTTCCACGTTCACCCTCAACAACAACACTATAGCTGGGGAAATGGAGATTTTTTGTGTTATTTTTTAGATCTGATCAATATTATCGGTCTATCCACACATATATATACATCTCTATACATTATTCCATCCATCCATCCATCCATCCATCTATTCATCCATCCATCCATCCATCTACATTCATCTACCTGCAAATCTATGCATCAATCTATATAACTATCATTTCATTGTTCCATTTATCTATTATTTAATCTATTTGTCCATTGTTACAACCATATATTCATTCTATTCATCTTTTCATCCATCCAACCCCACCCATCTATCCATCCATCCATCATTTCATTGTTGTATCTATCTATTATTTAATCTATTTTTCCATTGTTACAACCATATATTCATTCCGTAAAATTTTCCATTCATCCATCCATCCATCCATCCATCCATGCACTTATCCATCCATCAATCCATCCATCCATTTACTTATCCATCCATCCATCATTTCATAGTTTTATCTATCTATTATTTCATCTATTTGTCCATTGTTACAACCATATATTAATTCTATTCATCTTTCCATCCATCCAGCCCCACCTATCTATCCATCCATCCATCCATCCATCCATAATTTCATTGTTCCATCTATCTATTATTTAATCTATTTGTCCATTGTTACAACCATATATTCATTCCATTCATTTTTCCATTCATCCATCCATCCATCCATCCATCCATCCATCTACTTCTCCATCCATCATTTAATTGTTCTATCTATTATGTCATTCTTTCTATTCATCTTTCTATCCCTCCACCTACACACCCACCCACCCATCCATCCATCCATCCATCCACCAATCTACTTATCCATCCATCCATCCATCCATCCATTCATCCATCCATCCATCCATCCATCCACTTATCCATCCATCCATCCATCCATCCATCCATCCATCCATACGTCATTTCATTGTTCTATCTATCTATTATGTCATTCATTCTATTAACCTTTCTATCCATCCACCTACCCAACAACCCATCCATCTATCCATCCATCCATCCACTTATCCATCCATCCATCCATCCACTTATCCATCCATCCATCCATTCATCCATCCATCCATCCATCCACCAATTCATCCAGCTACTTATACATCCATCCATCCATAATGCAGGTCTGGTTCTCTTACATATCAGGCAGGTCCAATGTATGTACATAAGCAGCATACAGTAACTCGTCCTCTTTCGAGATCAATACTTTCAGCCCATCCCTCAGGATTTCTTTGGTGAGAATGCAGTTGGGCAGGGCTGGTTGAGACAAAGACAGATTAAAGGTAGAGGTCATTCTCTTTTGACCACGAGCACATTCTATGTTGATATGAACACAGTTACATTTCAATCATGCCAGTCTGTTTGCATATTTTGTACCTGGCAAAGCACTGCCCATCAGCTCTGGTTCCTCCTCTTCCTCCTCCTCTTCTTCCTCTCCCTCTGAGAAGCTGCTGTCATCGTCTATCTGGAAACCTTCATCGGCAGCAAAGCTCTCCAGCAAACGACTGACTGCTCGTCCCTTTGCCTGCTAACAGTCACGAAACAGCATGTGAGTCTCATTCTTCCACACACACACACAAACACGCACACAAACACGCACGCACACACACACGCACACGCACACGCACACACACACACACACACACCTGTAATGGCCCCAGAGAGAGTGATTAGGGCTCCAACATTCATTCAACCTCTCATACAAATATATCATAACCTCTCACACCCAACGGGTCCATTCTTGTGCACAGCCCTCAGTACTTAACATTGCTCAAAAAAAGCTGTCACATATTAATGTGATGGAGGTTTCGTCACTTGGGGTGATGCTGTTCGGTTTTCATTTTACAAGTGTGTCTCTAGGGTGAGGCACAGGTGAAGAATGATGCGTGTCTTTGTTCTCTATCGCACTCTTTGAGCGGAGTGGGAATTCTTCCCGCCCTCTGATTAGGCAGGCAAAGTCCCCTCGCATGCCTCGCTGATGACCTCACAAAGAGCCGACGGTGACAGCCTTGACGCCTATGGTGTAAATCCTTTCAAAACTATTGACTGTTTTATTTAGACAATGCATGATTCAGCCTGTGAATTAGCAGGCGGATCCCATCTTATCTTTATTGTGAGTAGATTTACGAGAGCCCCTGACAGGACGAACCACACGAGATTGCATAATCCTTCTCAAAGGGATGGCTTTTTATGGGTGCCAAGAGGGCAAGGCAGACAGATCTAGGCCGCTGGGGGTAATTCGCTATGTGGCGCTGCAGTCTAGCTAGATCACACCAGTGTCCAGCACAACTCAAATAAATGAGCTCAGATGTACCAGCATAGATTGGCTGTGGCCAAAAGCTGACTTGTTGCCTCACTGCACTATCAGGCAACGGCTTCGCAAGCAGCTGTTGCGCATGAATGTGCCTCATGAAACTGATTTCAGACAGACTTCTGAAGCAGCATAATGGTTTAATGATCCTCAATAAAATACAGGGAGCTTTGGTAAACCAAAACCAAGCAAATATGCAATTACTGCAAAAGTAATTTCTCAGTAAAAATTACATGAAAAGTGGAAAAACTTGGCCCAAATCTACATTTACAAATACAATGACCACCAAACCACAACTTTCAGATGCCAAATAAAATGTTTATCTCAACTGTCAATGAATCAAATACAGGACAGTGGGTTATCTTGCACAGAAAACAGTGCTGCCATTAAAAGATGATCAGATTGAAGTAGCATTTACAGAAGACAGGATGTGACATGGTAATTGGATTGCACTCCTATATCCTTAAACACAGCCTTTCTACTTTAGATGACTGCTAGGTTCCTTATGGCCCTTTTCCACTGAGTGGTACAGTACGGTACGGTTCGGTTCGCTTTTATGAAACAATGAAAGGGTATCAAAAGGTGGAGCCAGATGCGCAGCTGAACACTATGGATTTACAGACAAACGTCAAAAGACAGGAGAATGAAAACAAAGGAAGCGCCCATTTTAAATACACAGCCGAGACAATACATCATAATGATATATACATATAATAACAAGCCATGGTTGACCCGAGCTCAAACACACCTTGTCATTGTCTTAATGTACAGCCACAAAGCCAAGTAGATAAACCTGTTGTCCTGTTGTTGTTGTTTTCCATGGGCGTCTAAAGCGCGAGCGGTTTCACTTTCTCCAGAGAGCTTTGCGATCGTTCGCCGTTGTCTATATTTGAAATAACAAACTTCTTGAGCTGATGATAATAACATGCGCGTGATTATTGGAGTGCTTCTGACATCTGATCCTTTCAGAAACAGACAAAAGCGAGGGAGATGCACGAAAAAAAAAACAAAAGAGAAGCCAAAAAAAAAAAAACCAAATGGGGCAAATGATTCTTTGAGCAACCTAAAACATGAACAAACTGCCATGTTTAACTATTATCATCACCTTTTGGACTATTTTGAACTCGAGAATGACAGAGTTCTAATAGAGGTTACATGTGCTGCTGAAGATTAAAGATACAGATGAGAGGTTTGCACTGACTGTACGCTACATGTTGAGTGTTGTTTTTGAACTCAAATAAGGACTAAATGTATGATTCGGAAACTGTAACGGTCTGTATGTGTTCATATACGTTGCATTTATTTATATACTGTCGCAGATGTCACAGTAGGCTTTTTCTATTTCGCACTGATTTTTGATCTGCAGTTATAATCAAATCATATTCATAGAAAAGCTAATAATGAACATTTCTACACAAGTATTAAGGTGTATAAAGCATCTGTTTTGTGAGAAGTGCTTCTCATATGATATGTGAATGACCCGTACAGCTTTACTGTAGACATTTTCTCGAGCAACAATGACGTAGACTGAAACTTTCTGTTGTATACCATGCCCACCATTGGTACCCTTTTGACAGTGGAAACGAAATCCTGATAAAGGTGACCCGTACCATACCGTACTATACCACTCAGTGGAAAAGGCTCATTAAAGGGAGAGTTTATCTAAAACTGAATATTCTGTCATCATTTACTCTCCCTTTACTTGTCCCAAACCAAACCCAAGATTCTCTTCTGTTGAACACAAAGGAAGACATTTTATGTCGGAAAATGTTTAAATGTTGGAAACCTGTACCCATTGACTTCAATGGTATTTGTTTTCCCAACCAGGAAAGTCAATAGTTAATGTTTGTTAATAGTAAATGTTTGTTTTTAAAATATCTGGAAAGAAACTTCTTGGAACTACTTCAGAGAGATGAAATAGTGAGTATTTTTCATTTTTGGTTGAATTATCCTATTAACTTGCTTAACCTAATCATCAAGACTTTGAATAGATGTTAACTGGTAAAAGAAACTCTTTCCATACCTGTTTGTTTCTGATTCGCCTACTCCAAGATATGTCATCATACTGCGACGACAGCGCTTGCAACCAACAGCTCTTCCTCTGAAACAACCATCGATGACGTGTTAGCACTTAACGAATAGCACTTGTAGCTTCGTTTCTATAGAATTTACTAACAAAGTATAGATTTACCTTGCCGAGAAGCACTGCGCTCTTCCTGGTGGTCCTTTCTCGTGGAGTAGGTGAGGTTTTGAGAACCCTAGTGTGGTCAAAGGTGTTCTCCCTTGAGCCCTCTCTCCACTTCGGGCCAGTCAATCTCCTGTCCTCATCTAGTTCTGAGTGGTTATGGTCAGCACAGACCTGGGCTGGCCTACAGGGGGCCTTCCTTCTCTTCATCTCTTCTTTAGTGACGGACACATTCATAGACCCTGGAGGGAATCAGAAAAAAAAATGGTAAGAATGACAGTGAAAGATGAGTGTTTGTGAACTAAGGTGATATCTGTCAATCCATGCTGTCTAATTAAGCAAAGATGTAACATTTACCGAATCCTTGTCTTTCAGTTTTGTTCTTGGCTTTCTGATTAGCCTCAAGCTTCACGATGGAGCACTGTGAAGGACGGCCGGCTCCAGACAGCTGCTCTTTAGATGATAGATTCTTGATGCCCTCTGCCCCTTCCTCGCTGTCGTAGATGCCGTCATCTTCCTCCTCTGTGAAAATGATGGATCGATTGAATGCATTGACATCTTGACTGGACTACAGTTCACAGCAGGCGTCTGAATCGGTCATGGCGAACGCAGCCTGCCGATTTCTCTCACTGCGCGGTTTGTTCGATATTTAGCAAAGTTCATGAAACGGGTGCCAAATGTGGCTGTGACTGTCAGCGTTCACAGGAACTTTAGCAGTCAGAGAAGTCTAGTCACTGGCAGGTTTGACCATCAAGTGTCAGACCTAGTGACTGATTCAAGCTCCTGATTCAGCTGCAAATACATTACCATTACAAATCTGAGACCGCACCAACACTGCTCTTTAAAATACACATTATAAAATTCATTCAATTAAATTAATTTCATGTATATTTCTATAGCGCTTTTACAATGTAGATTGTCTCAAAACAGCTTAACATAGAAGTGCCGGTAACACTTTACAATAAGGTTCATTAGTTAATGCATTTACTAACATGAACTAATCATGAACAACACATGCACAGCATTTATTAATCATAATTTAACATTTACTAATGCATTATTAACATCCAAGTCCATGCTTGTTAACATTAGTTAATGCACCATGAGTTAACATGAACTAACAATGACCTACTGTATTTTCATTAACTAACGTTAACTAACATGAACAAATACAGTAGTAAATGTATTGTTCATTGTTTGTTCATCTTAGTAAATGCATTAATTACACATTAACTAATGAACCTTATAGTAAAGTGTGACCGAAGTGCCTTCAGATATGTATCAATTTCTACAATCACTCACTGGCCACTTTATTAGGTACACCTTACTAGTACGTGGTTCAACCCTCTTTTGCCTACAGAACTGCCTTAATCCTTTGTGGCATAGATTTAACAAGGTACTGGAAATATTCCTTAGAGATTTTAAAGATAAATGGATGGACAGGGTCAGCAAAAATTCTCAGGTGTGCCGTGGTGTCGACACAATGCTCAATTGGTAGTAATGGGCCCAAAGTATGAAAAGAAAATATCCTCCACACCTTTACACCACCATCACCAGCTTGAATTGTTGATACAAGGTAGGATGGGTCCATGCTTTCATGTTGTTGTTGCTAAATTCTGACCCTACCATCCGAATACCGCAGCAGAAATCAAGACTCATCAGACCAGGCCACCTTTTTCCAATCTTCTATTGTTCAATTTTGGTGAGCCTGTGCAAATTGAAGCCTCAGTTTCCAGTTCTTGGCTGACAAGACTAGCACCCGGTGTGGTCTTCTGCTGCTGTAGGCCTTCCGCCTTAAGGTTCAACATGTTGTGCATTCAGAGATGCTCTTCTGCATACCTCGGTTGTAATAAGTGTTTATTTAAGTTGCTGTTGCCTTTCTTTCAGCTCTAACCAGTCTGGCCATTCTCCTCTGACCTTTGGCATCAACAAAGCATTTGCACCCACAGAACTGCCGCTCACTGGATATTTTCTCTTTTCGGACCATTCTTTGTAAACCCTAGAGATGGTTGTGCGTGAAAACCCAAGTAGATCAGCAGTTTCTGGAATACTCAAACCAGCCCGTCTGGCACCAACATCCATGCCATGTTCAAAGTCACTTCAATCACCTTTCTGATGCTCAGTTTGAACTGCAGCAGATCATCTTGATCATGTCTACATGCCTAAATGTGTTAAGTTGCTGCTATGTGATTGGCTGATTAGAAATTTGCGTTAATGAGCAGTTGTATGTGTACCTAATAAAGTGGCCGGTGAGTGTACTGTAAGTAATGATACTGCAGTCTTGAAATTAGGTTTGTAAGGAGGATGGAAACATCTACTGATGCCTTTCACATTCTAGCTGTCAGTTTATTAAGATATTCAGATGAAATGACTGTGCAACTTTAGAAAAATAAAGCAACCTTGTGCTTTCTGCTGCACTTGTCCTGTACATTCCTTTCAGAATCACATACACATCTTTGTGATTGCAAATTTTTTTTCAACCACCGCGTACGCAAACAAAGTCGTACTCGCATGCTTGGGTGTCACAGATCCGTATTGGCAGATGCCGTCTGTGGGCTATGTGTCTCGCATCGAGCGGAGATGGCACGGTGGCAGCAGTGTCGGGTGTCAACACAGTGCTGACACACTTGTCACTTACAAGGCGCTCGTCAACACTCTCGCAAGCTCGTGAAATGTGAAAAGGATAACTTTCAGGGCAATTAACAGAGCGGCGACAACACCGCCTAGCTCGACCGCAGGCGAAGTTCACATTAGCGTTCATTACCGCCATGATTTCATCTCCACTTTGTTCACTTACAGAAGTGTGTTCGCAGGAAGCATGGACTAAAACGTAGCTTTATATTCCCCCTGTAGGTGTGGCATTCTGAACACAGCATGATGCAGTCTAGCATTACAGCTCGGGTTTTGCCTAATGCATGCCTGAGGAGGCGCCATTAATTTTTTTTAACACCAAGACAGTCGAGTAGGCAACAGAGAGCGTCCGCTGATCAACATTTCTCCTGGCCCATAACTCACCTGTGTCGCTGATGCCCTTCTCTGTAGCTTCAAGCTTGCTATCGGTCATAGCTGTATTGCATAGCAGCTGCTGAGTTCGGGTTGGTAAGGGTGTAGAGCTCAGGATGGCCTTTGACCTCGCGCCTCTTTTCATCACGCTCCGCTTCCCATCTGAATCCTGCTGGACTGCAGTCCCACTGCCTGCTGGGATAGATTAAACATTTTTCAGATTTATAAATAATCTAAAGTAAGCTAAATAATAAACGACACAGCAGCTGACCCAAAACGAACACTTCTGTCATCATTTACTCACTCTTTACTCGTTCCAAACCTCTTTGAATTTCTTTCTTCTGTTAAACAAAGGAAGATATTTTGAAGATAGCCTTTGTTTGGTTTATAAAAAGTCTTCAAAAATACCTGCTACTGTGTTCAGCACAAGTAAGAAACACATCGAGGTTTGGAACGAGTAAATAGTGAGTACATCTTCACTTTATTTTAATGTAAATGTGTGATTTTTACCTGTGTCACCTTGCTCTCCCGTTTTGTTATTATGTGCGTGTTCTTCTTTTGCAGACTGATGTTCGGGAACAGTGCTCTGTGTTTTGCTCTCTCTGTGACACAGCAAGTTCACCAATCTGGATCCACGCTTGGCTTTGGCTTTCTGCTTCAGCTGTGAGCAAGCTTTCTGCTTAAACTTCGTGCTTAGGAGTCTCGGCCTTCCTCTGGGCCTACAGTGAGCCTTCATCTGAAACGAAGAGAAGAGGGGAATTAAAGCAAAGGCAGTGTTTGAGTTGCATTATTACAATAGTTGTAAGACAGCACTCTGTTGAAGTTCCTCAACTAATTCACTCAAGCTTGCTAAGGCTGTGGTTAAAGGTAATGTAAATAATGTTCAGTTTCTTGCACTCACTGGCCGTTTCCTTGCATAAAATCTCAATATATTATTGAGAGACATGGGTATTAGTTATGTTTCACCTTTATGCGTGTGTGTGCTTTTTTTACTCTCAAAAGTGCTGTTGATTAGCATTTTTTGGATCACTGTCTAAGTCAGAGAATTTCATCTGAAAGCGGGGTGAGCAAAGAATGATTGCCATTCATAATCAAACCAACAACAATGACATTATTGATATTATTAAAGGCATTTTTTGTCGAGAGAATTTTCAAAATAATTTTTTATAATCATAATGTTTTTTTTTTAATGGTTCTTCAAAACAGCTTTGCCTTTAATATTTCAAAAGCTGTTTTGGAATGTTTATTCATTCATTTATATTCTTTTTGGCTCAGTCCCTTTGTTAATCTGTGGATACCAGAGCGAAATGAACCGCCAACTTATCCAGCACATGTTTTATGCAGCGGATGCCCTTCCAGCTGCAACCCATCTCTGGGAAACATCCACACACACTCATTCACACTCATACACTACGGACAATTTAGCCTAGCCAATTCACCTGTACCGTAGTACCGTATTATTTTGAACTGTGGGGAAAAACAGAGCACCCGGAGGAAACCCACGCGAACGCGGGGAGAACATGCAAACTCCACAGAGAAATGCCAACTGACCCAGCTGAGGCTCGAACCAGCGACCTTCTTGCTGTGATTACCTACTGCGCCACCGCGTCACCTGTTTTGGAATGTTTCGTTTTTTAATGTTTACTTAAATAAATAGACATTTTAAGATTTTTTTTTAATATTTAACAATTTTACACAGCTTCTTTTGTGTACAGAGTTTCCTGTTTTCTTGCCTTTAGTTTTCCATTTGCAACAATTAAGAAATTAACATAAAAAGTTAATTTATGCAATGATGATGACCTTAATGACAATATTAAAGCACAGCCTCCACAAATTCAGACGCAAGCACATCATTTTACTATGAATTTACCTACAGATTTAAGAAAGCATAACAGTTAAGTAACTATTGATTTGCCGTAATTGATAAGGTTTCATTCGTTTTGTAACTAATTGTTTCCAACACTGTCAAAATATATTTTTTTTAAATTTAAAAACAATCAGTTATGGCATTTTTTCTTGCATTAAGTTATTTATTTATCATTTTTAAACAGAAAACGATTAAAAGATAATCGGGCCTGACTCAGCATGAATGCTGTTTTTCAGCAGGTTTCTGCTCTGCAGAACATGAAAGCATACAGTCACCTTTAACATCTCATTCAACAACACATGAGAACAGTACAAACAATCACCAAACATACAAAAGTTTCTAGTCCAAATATCTATATAATAAATATTGATTTACCTTTTGACATAGGACTACTTTGATTGCCCCATTGGTAGATTATTTCGCTTGTTTTGAAGAAAAACTCACAAAAATGTGACTTATTATTTCTGAAAACAAATGCAAATGCTTTTTCATTTAAGAAGTTTTAGAAATTTGGACTAGAAACGAGACAAAAGCTCTAAGTAAGAAAAGCATTGTAAATAGTGACTGTTTTTACACTCTTACAATGAAACAAAACCAACAACCAACCAACCGTTTTCACCTTGTCAAGACATTTACAAAAACGTTTGCTTTCCAGCAGTCTAGAAGCGATCTGCTACAAACCTGAGTGCTTGTGAGATGGTGGTACGGACCACCGGTCATCCTCTTCTTTTTCCTCTTCCTGTCTCCGCCTCCAGCCAAGTCCTCAGCTGTCATCAAGCCTGGCCCCGCCCCCGCTCCAGCCGACCTGTCCATCACAACAGAGAGAGGTATTCATGAGCGGAGAGAAGAACCAAGGATGAAAAGCAGAGATCAGAGGCGAGCGGAGGGCTTGCCTTCCCTCTCTGTGGCTCTCTAATAACCTTCTTTTCAGGCTTTGATGAATGGAGAGGCAGGGGCCTGGTTCCCTGCTGCACGCTTGAAAAATTGGGATCTGACGCCAAACCGAGAAATATCTGAGAGAAGTGCTGGTAAAGCAACCTCCCACTCATAATTTTGTTTGTTCTTTTTTTTTCTCCCTCGTCTCACAGTCTCTCCGTCTCTGCTTACTCCTTTTCCATTCTGTGCCAATGGTTTCAGGGCTGTGAATTCCAGCATTACATTAATAAAAAAAACCTTCTCTGTCTTATTACCATATCAATGCATCTGTTCCTGCACAATGCAGCACAATGCACAGGCCTTCAGGAGGGCAATGAGAGTGAGTGAGTGAGTGAGTGTGTGTGTGTAGCCAACCATCTAGTAGACCTATTACACTGAAATAAGGCTCATACACTCGCTCTGCGGCGATCGGATCTCGTTTTGCAGTGTGTAAGCATCAGTGTTTTTACTGCCGCGAAGCAGACAGATACTTCAAACCCGCCACAGGCTGCCTTACTCTGCGCTTGGGGCGGGGGGCGGTGGCACTGAAATCAGCTGGCCTGTCAATCACCAGGATGATTGACAGGTGAGTGTCGGAAGCCGTGTCGGCGTGTGGTTGGTGAATTCCAGCCTCCCTTCTGTGACTGTTATAGTCAGTCACTTCCAAAGCGTCTCTCAATGGTGACATTTTTAATTTTGCTAGTTAATGATTTGATGTGATTTCTTCAGTGCTGGATGTGGTGCTGTTTCCCAGCATGCATCATCATGGCATGCATAATTTTTTGCACTATGTTTGTTCAGGGTTTCCTTGACCTGATGGCTTCTTGGTACTTTGATGTGCTTAGTTAACATTTAAAAGACACTTACTATTCAGTTTTATAATCAGCTTGTATTCCCAAGTGGAAACAGATTTCCACTTACAGTATGTTCAAATCTTGAGAAGACAATTTTCCAAATAGATTTTATTATCATGTTTATTTACAAAATTAAAAGAAAAGATATTTAAAAAGCTGTTTTAAATAATTCTTTTATTTGTTTACCTAAATATTAAAACGTTTTTTCTTGAAATTCTTTGTATGTATACAGCTGATAGATTATATACATTATATATATATATAGAAGACAGTATATATGCACACAGTATATATGTATATGTATGTGTGTGTGTGTGTGTATGTATATATATATATATATATGTATATATATGTAGATATATACGTATAGTGGATTGACATTTTTTTAGGTTACGTAATAAGTACTACACTGTAATAAATTACTAGAATTTCACAACATGTTACAATAATTTTTCACAGTAAACTACTTTTCACTGTAAACTACTGTCATTTTACAGGATTTAATTTGTTTAATTTTATTTATTCAAAATATTATTGTGAAATTAAGGCTGGCATCATGATTACAGCAAATTACTTTAAAAACGGCTATATCTTTTGCACATTAGTTATAAGAATTCAAACATTATTTATTATTCAACATAATCATGATAACAGCAAATTACTGTAAAAATGGCTATATCTTTTGTATGTTAGTTATAGGAATTTTAATGTAATTTATTATTCAACATAAAAATTAAAACACATGAACTTTTGTGCTTGTACAGGCACTTTTTAATATTCAAAAATATTTACAAAAATATTGGTATTATGATGTACTGTGAATTTACATGCAGTACCTTACAGTGAAAGTAATGCAATTATCAAGGTCAATATATAAATCCCTAAAAATAAAGTATATGTACTTGTGATCAAATAAATGCAGGCTTTGTAAGCAGAAGAGACTTCCCCAAAAAAAAAAAAAAAAAACCCTGAACAAAATTTTGACCAGTAGCGTAGGTAGGCAATTCAAGAAATGTCCAACAAAGATGGACATTTCATATTAACATCAAGATTACATGGCATCAGCTCCAGCCCATCATACGCATTACAGCTTGACTGCAGTCTCGACAACTCCTTTCATAAGTGACATAATATAATTCAGAGAAGCAAAAAGCAATATGAAAGTAGACCAAATTTGCACTGAGCGTCCCAACTGGGCGAATCATTTACTTGCGTGACCGGCTAATAGCGCAGCACATGCCAAATTGATCCACGCAGAACCAATCTGCACTGCCCACTGAGTCGCACACTGATAATTTGTCATTAATAATTCATATAGTAATAACTGATTGATGAATAATGAAATATTGAATCATTTACTCAGCTGAATAACTCAATCTCGTCCCACTTTCGGAGCATTGGCTTCCCGTACACCCCTTAACTAAATAAAAAAATGCTGCATAGTAGTTTGCCATGCAGAGGCCAGTGACTTTGGCATTTTTAAAATAAACAGCTGAGCCGAATACATACACACTGCATATTAGAATGAAATGAGGAGTTATAAAAAATACATATGCACATGCATGAACGCATCCGCTCGCATAGACACACATTCATCAGCAGTGGCTGCGCTGTGCTCCTTTCTTTCAGCTGTCTGAACACTGGCCGTCTGCCCTTTACTCTGGCCGATGCTGTCAGAAAGAATCAGTGTCCCAAACACAGAGACCCCAGCCCTCATCCTCAACACAAAGAGCCCCTGCTTCAGCTGGAGATGGAGAGAGGATCCCGCTGAGACAGAGAGGGACTGATGCATCACCAGGACAGATGGGTGGAAAAAAAACATGCACTAAAAAATCTGTAGCTTAGTAGAACATAACGTTTCGGTTTGCAAACATGCTTCAGCGTTAAGGGTCTTTCAGATTTGATGAGTGCAACTTGTGTCTTACACATTTAGGAACTGGGATCTCTGCTGAATTTAACAGAGTGTATAATACAGACTAAAACAGGAGGAATGCTGTTAATGTTCTTCTGGATTTGGAACTTTCGGGGAAATTAAACACACTATAAAAACAAATATTTTTACATGATTTTTAAAATGACCATAATAGTGAACTGAAACCTTTTCTGTCTTCTAAAGATTTGGAAACCACTATTAACGTCTTTATTATGTCCAGACTATTGTAATTCTCTGTATTCAGGAGCTTCTCATGCTTCAATTGTATGCCTGCAGTTGGTTGAAAATGCAGCCTTTTAACTGCATAACTAAAAAATTTGCTAGCATTTCGGCAGTTTTATCGTCCCTTTACTGGTTCCCAGTCCAATTTAGGATTCAGTACAAGTTATTGTTATTTGTTTTTAAAGGTTTGAATGGTCTGGCACCTATTTAAATTGGTGAGCTTCTTCATTGGCATACTTCATTGGTCGGCACAACATTTTCAGCAAGTTGTTCCCAAGTCACGATTAAGGCTTGTTCTGTTGCAGCCCCTTGTCTGTTTGCCTTTATATATCAGGTTATGTTTTTTCTTGGTGCTTTTGAATCTCATTTTTAAAAAAATCATCTTTTTTCTCTGGCTTTTGATTGTAATTAATTAGATTTTTGTTTACATATACAGAGTATAGATTTTGTGTGTTGGTTCATTTATAAAACACTTTGGTCAACATTTGTTGTTTTTTAATGTGCTATAAACAGAGCAAACAAAAATCATACTAAACAAATTAATATAATATAATATAATATAATATAATATAATATAATATAATATAATATAATATAATATAATATAATAGGACAGTACGGTGGCACATTGGGTAGCACAATCGCCTCACAGCAAGAAGGTTGCTGGTTTGAGCCTTTGCATGTTCTTCCTGTGTTCGCATGGGTTTCTTCTGGGTGCTCCGGTTTCCCCCCAAAAAAGTACAAAAACGTGGTATAGGTGAATTGGGTAGGCTAAGTTTTCCATACTGTATGTGTATGAATGAATGTGTGTGGGTGTTTCCCAGTGATGGGTTGCAGCTGGAAGTGCATCCGCTGCGTAAAACATGTGCTAGATAAGATGGCAGTTTATTCCGCTGTGGCGACCCCAGATTAATAAAGGGACAGAGCCGAAAAAAATGAATGAATGAATAAAATAATATAACATAAGATATTATGACAATCCTTCATTTTGTTTCGGCTTAGTCTCTTTATTAATCTGGGTCGCCACAACAAATGAACCACCAACCTATCCAGCACGTTTTTAGGCAGCGGATGACCTTCCAGCTGCAACTCATCTCTGGGTTTGCGCACACTCATTCACACACACTCATAATCTACTGACAATTTAGCCCACCCAATTCACCTGTACCGCATGTCCTTGGACTGTGGGGGAAACTGGAGCACCCGGAGGAAACCCATGCGAACACAGTGAGAACATGCAAACTCCACACAGAAACGCCAACTGACCCAGTCGAGGCTCGAACCAGCGACCTTCTTGCTGTGAGGTGACAGATATAATATAATATAATATAATATAATATAATATAATATAATATAATATAATATAATATAATAAATAATGCTGAAAGTGAATTTCAGCTACATTTATTTAAAATAATAAATTTATCATATAATAAATAATAAAAATTAGTTTTTTGTAACAATTTTAGAATGCATCATTACTAAAATATTACTCAACCCACACTGCACATGTGCACATATACAGTTTTAAGTTACAATATTCGTAAATAATATGTAATTTATGTGTGTAAATAAAAGTCATTATGAAAAAATTCAACAACTTCTACTTCATCAGCTTAAATAAAACCAGAAAAGCCAGAAAAGTTAATTAAAACGATTTTAAAGAGAAAGAAAAATTCCCCAAGATCAAAGAACAACCAATGTAGCGTGTGCGTGTATGTGTGTGTGTGTTTGTGTGTGTGTGTTTGTGTGAGAGAGAGAAAAAGCGGGAGAGACAGCAGTCCAGAGAGAGTCGGTCGACTGACCGGAGCTGGATCAATGGACACTAACCTCTATCGACCACTCACCACATGCAACTTGAACACAGAATTATTTCAGTAT